ATTACCCAGGACTACTTATCATGAATGGACTGATCCATTCATGACAGTAAGGAGGATAACTGTGTCTTATCACAACGGTGAAGCTGGCGTACAAAATTACGAATATAGATATACATATCTATGCTCCCCAAGTAATCCCGTTCCATCATCACTGAGCGGACACTGAACTTTCGTTTATCGATGAACGGGCCTTCTCTCAGGGATGCTCCGTGTCTTGAGCGCCTATTGGGATTTAAGTTTAACCCAGAACTCGTACATACGATCTATTGCTAAATATGCAGGGGAATGGTCAGCTCTCTGTACCTCTCCAGTAAGTACCTGGCTCCTCATTCTATCCTCTACCTTACAAGAGTTAGATCAGGCTGAGAAGAGAGAGAGAATCTTCAATTTCTAGTCTCGAAAGAGTCCATAAGCGTCTACACGGCCTTTCGGGTGATGATTATTCCACCTTAAAACCCCTTTCTCAAGCTTCTCACTATCTTGTCTCCCTTTTCTCTGTAGCCATTTCCAGGGAACATATTCAGACAAACTACATTCCTTAGTTCCCCTAGTTCTAACTTTCAAAGCTAAAACCCGTTATGCCAAGAACATTGTAGCGAACCATTTTAATTGCCTCAAAGTGAGATGCGAATTCCACTTGAACAGCTTCTTCCCCCAAACAGCTCTTTTGTGGATCTGACTCTCACGAGGATGCTTCCTCTATCATTATAATCTTCATCTAGCGTTAATCGTTATCTTCCCCAAATAAACAGTGCTTCTCACCTTTTAGTCTGTAATACAAGAGCCAGTTGAGATAAAATGGAGTGACTCTTGGGCCTTGTACAGGGTGGATATTATTGTAAAACAAAGATAACAACAAAAAGCAAAGATGAACAGTATATCAGACCCCAGAGTTCACACCCATCTGATTAAGATCAGGAAACTGCCAAGCAATTCTGTGATATAGGACCGGATATTTACTGTATCCCATATTAATTTCCCAAGGCAAAACACGTTTATATTAAATATTATTATTATTTTTATTATTAAATAAAAGATTCAATGGACACAGGTATGATGTCAGAGCTTGCAGAAAATTTTATTACAAGTGTCTTAAGGTGCATATTCTGAAAAGATATTCAGAATCTATCGACTTTTTGTTATGGTCCGGTTCCTTGTACCACGGTGATAGTCCAAGGTAGAACCAATAAAGAAGAACTCGAACACGGTATGGAATAACACAGATATATTACAAACAGGAATATATACAGAGAAGTAGAAGTGTTAGTATGAACAATCAGGTTTAGTAGAGAGAACAATGTAGTCTCGAGCAGTATCACTATTCCAATGTCTTGCAGTAATTGTTTGAAACGCGACTCTGTTTCAGACTGCCTCTGACTCGACTCTTGACTCGACTTGAACTACTGACTCCTTGAACTCCTTGCCTACACCTGAGGCGCAGTATTTGTTAAGTATGGAATAGTTAATCATTATTATTATGGGTAAGATCCCATAACACTTTTCCACAATGACGATGGTTACGTATGCAAATTAGTAACTTCCCGGCCGGAAGAATGAGCAGAACGACAAAACAATTTCATGAGATGTATCCGAGGCTGTTTGATTAATTCCTCTTCCTAACTAATCAACAAGCAGAAAATTTCAAGATGAACAAGATCACCATCGTATTAAGAACGTTTCAGTCGCGCGTTTCGTTCGTTTTGACGCGTTCATTACCAAGACAAGCAACGTTTGTACAAAGACAATAATTTTTCCTCCTTGAATGTCGAACATCCTTGGGTGTCATTCGTCAGTCCAGTGACCTTTCTCGGCCTAGGCGAGTCTTATGACGGTTTAGTTTGTCGGCAACCGAGTTGCTCTCATTCTGGTCTTGGATGACAGCGGCAAATTATCTCAGCAACCTTGAATTTTCGCTTACTTGGTGATTGTTTCGGAATCGGTTACCTCTCAACGACGTAACGTTCAAATGGGGCTTGACAGATTTGCCAGACTGTCAACGATGTCACCTTCTACCATTGTCCTTAGGTGGGCCTGCTTTGAGACTATGCCGGTGAATTGACGGCTCGTATCGTTCCCGAAAAGCTCGTGCTCATTGATCGCGTATATGTGTCGGTACCCGTATTCTGGAGTGAAACAGATGATGTTTCAGACGCTGCTGGCCACATCTCGAATGGAGGACGCGAATGGAGGAAATCTTGCGATGCGATCACTATTCTCATCAGGATCTGCTCAGAGTCTTTCAGCATCAACTCAGGATGAAGATTAAAACTAATAGGAAGCGGTTGGTATCGGCAGATTTCAACGAAAGTTCGGTAACTGGGGCGAGCCTGGTTTGCCTGAAAGTGGCTAGCTCTGATTTTCTATTTTACGTCTCCCTAAGTCAAAACGGAGCAGTTTCCTGAGGAATCATCCTCTGGTTAAGATAGACTATTCCAAGTGTACCTAGTTAATGTGTGTAAGTGTTGTTCCCGGCCTGTTACCGGCTTCTGCTTTTATTATGATCCAAGTCGAGATTCCGAACCTCCCCAGTTTGTTTTGGTCCGGCCTTTTCATATCGACTGGGTCAAATTTTGAATTTTCTAATGCCCATAATTTTTTTTATCCTTTTCCTCTCCCTTAGGGACAGAGTCACTTGATTTTGTTGGAAGATACTTATTCCTTCTTTTTCGGAGTCATCATCCCTCCCTATAATTACTTTGATAATATATATATATATATATATATATATATATATATATATATATATATATATATATATATATATTTAAAGTCTTCGGAAAGACGAAGTGACCCTCTAGAAAGGTGGAGTGACATCTTGGAAAGACAAGAATCTACATTAAAGCATGAAGAATACAAGAGACGTAGAATGCCATCTGGGTGACTGTAGCGGGGAGGGAGAATATATCACCCATCAGACTGATTTTAATGGAAACGACCTGGACCCGGCTACAACGTATAATTGCGGCAGAAGATTCAACGGTTTACGCGGTTTACGTATCCATAAGGCACGCTGGTGCAAACAACGTAATTCTCCTGTTGGAGGATGTAAATCGAGTGATGGGATTATGAATCTGGAATACACCCACAGCGTTCAGGATTCCATCGTTGAGCGACAGCACCCTGGAGAAATCCTAAGTAAACCAAGAATACAGTGGCCCAAAGGTAACCAGAAGACTGTTTGGACTAATCTTGACAAAGAGCTTTCTTTTATCCTTAATAACAATCTTAGGGGTCATATAGGGCAACAGATCAGTTCCTTTTGTAGAATAATATACGACGTTTGCTTTGAGTGATTTGAACCGGTAATGGAAAAGATAAAAAGAGGAAAAACAACCAAATCGACGACAAATTTAGAAAGGAAAGTTAAGATCAGAACAAACATTAGTGAAATATTATGCGCGCATCATCACGACCTAACATGCGCAGGTGAAATATTTGCATAGCCGTTTATAACGATTTTTACGAGCGCATCAATAACGGCAAACGCGTTCAGGAACTTTCATTACGGACAGAAGCTGCAAAGAGGAACAATCGTTTTATTTATTTCATTAAGAATTTGCAAAGAGGAACGATCAATTAGTTTTTTTTTTGTTTTTTTTTTCATACCCTGCCTGGTGGCAAATGCTGCTGGTGGCGCCTGGGGTGGCGGTCCCGCCATAGCCACCGAAACCGTGAGATCACCCCTGGTCGGCGGCTGATGAAGTCAGGGTATCGCACGTGCTAACACACGTTGTATGTTAAAATATATATATATATATATATATATAATATTTATTTAAAAATATGATTCCAACACGCAAATAAATAAATAAATAATTAAACAAATAATTATATTTATGCTCTACTTTTGTATCGAGCACTATTTTCTAAAAATAATAACAAAAATACTAAAGAACTTTGGATTATTTACCTAACGAGTTCTTTCCTATTTTCTATATATTTTTCACACACACACACACACACACACACACACACACACACACACACACACACACACACACACATATATATTGACCACATATATTATCTCTCTCTCTCTCTCTCTCTCTCTCTATCTATCTATCTATCTATCTATCTCTATATATATATATATATATTACACACACTTGTACATATTGTGATTTTTCACTCATGGGATGGTTTTTCCTAGTAGGTGCCCTGTGTGTGTGAGGTATTTTGGTGTATGAAGGAGCGAATGATGACGGATAAATCTTATCGTGAAAGAGTATATTGTAACGAATGAATGGGTCATGAATCTGATTAGCTAGGTATAAAATATCTAGTGCTGACCAAACTTGACCAGTCTCCTCCTTTTCTTCGGCCTTGTGCCACACTTACTGTATCAGTAATAAATCTTAGCGAATCAACGTTTGCACAAAGACTTATAATAATTGTTTATAGATTTATATATCGTTATGCCTGAAAAAATATTTTAAATATAACTTGAAGACATTTTATTGAAACATTTTCTTTTTCTTTTCCTCAATCGCACACTTTTCTTAATTATTATTATTATTATTATTATTGCATTTATTTATTTTATCTTAATTTTTTATTTCTTTTGTAATGAGTATTTTGAGCGTCATTTCAGTTCATCTTGGTCATCCCCTTTACCGCCTTTTAACAAAGTATTCGATCTTTTTGTATACTATTGTTATTATGAACAACAACAGTAAAATCTTCATTTATAAGCGTTTAGATCCCAAGGGGACACGACTTGCTTCACCAGACTCCGACATATCTTCAATTTTCAACGGAATTTTCTTCGTCTTTTTCTCAATTTGAAACTATATTCAAATCTCCCTAATCTTGTTATTACACAAATATATTTTACCCATGAATACAATTAATATATAATAATATTTAAATAAATTTTTATTATAAATGTTTGTATTTTACAGCTTATAAAATAAACATTGTATATAAATTACTAATAAATAACAAAAGAGTATTAAAATTAATCGAGAAGTGACTATCACCACAGTCGCCATCACTATTAGCACCACTACCATCACTACTACGACTGCATTTCTCTTTGTTATTTTTTCTTCTTCCTATCTATCTATCTATCTATCTATCTATCTATCTAATACTAAACGTCTGTGAATCGTGCATACGTCGGCCGTCGGGCGCATAATGATTTAAGTTTCTCTCCACCTCTCTCTTTTCAACTCTCTCTCTCTTTCCACCCTTCTCTCTCTCTTTCCACCCTGCTCTCTCCCTTTCCACCTCTCACTTTTTCCATCTCTCTGTGATTGCGTGGTTTCAGTTTTCATTAAACAAACAATATTTTAAATATTAAAACAAAAAAAAAAAAATTGCCATATTTAAAAAAAAAAAAAAAAACTTTTCAAGTGAATATGATTTAAAAATATTTCTTGGAATATTAAAAATACTTTTAACTTAATGTGAGTTAAAAAAAAAATTCTAAGTGAATAAAATTAAAAAAATAAGAGTTGTTTATATATTAAGTATTTTTTATTTCAACTTCCTTCAAACAGATAATTTCCTTCTTTCCCCTTTTTTCTTGCTTTAAGCGTTAAAAAAATCAACTTTATAACCTGAAACATATTATTAACCTGAAGATTATTATTATTATTATTATTATTATTATTATTGTTGTTGTTGTTGTTGTTGTTGTTGTTGCCTTTATTTATTTTAAGTTTTAATTTCTTTTGTACTAACTATTTTGTGTGGCAATTCATTTCATCTGGGCCATCTGCTATATCGCCTTTTAATAACATATTCGTTCTTTAACTAAATCCTTTAATTATTAATGATTCATTGATTGGCTGTCGCATCTATTTAACAAAACCCATACTTAGAAGCATACACACACATACATACATTGCAAATACCATTTTTATACCTTGTTTTCTTTCATGTCGTACTAGTCAATTATTAACTTTATAAACTTTTTCATTCAATGCCTTCTCAACTTCTAAATTGACCAGTAACAATCTTATAAATGATAACTGGTTTTCGTTTATTGACCATATCGTTCGAAATCCCTGCACGCAACCTCCATTATTTGAAATTCTCTATTGGACACATTACATCTCAGTTCTTTACTTTGTTTCCAACAATATTTTACCCCTACGAGCCCGATTATGATTATTGTAATATCACGATATTACGCCATATTTTATCGCATCCATATACGACAAAGCAAAAATACATATTACGTGATTCTGAAAAACATTTTGAAAAAGGTTTTGAACATTGAAAATTTAAATGAACAATATTGATATTTTTTAAATTTATTAAACGAATAATTGTCACTTATTATCAATTTTGGATTTTTTTTTAATCATTTCACTCCAATCGAAGCGGGAGTACCACTAGTACGCAAGGATTACAGGGAGTGAAAGTGAGAGAAAAGACTGAGTATAGAAAGGATTAAGGAAAGGACAAAACATGAATGGAATTCAAGAAGATAGAAGATAGCGATTGATGTTGCATTTAACCTTTTAAAGATTGTAGTTATCAGGGAATCAGAAGGGAAATCTACAGGTAGTGTAACAATATGAGTCAAGAGGAGGTCTTGATAAATTTAGCGGGACCTGTCGCACAACTCGATACGGAACATTTAATTTCGAGCGATGGCTATCAGTAATTTGAGTTAACTTCAAAATACACGAGAAAGAGGCTCTCGCTGAGAGAAAGTAACGGAAAGTAACGGAAGGAATATTAATTACCTTTTTCGAAGAAGATGACAAGACAAAGAAAACTGTTGTTTATAAAACTGAACAACCCGTCCAAAATAAAACAGAAGGGACGAAGCGGCCCACGCAGAAAGACATAAACGACAGTCAGTACCTAAGAATAAAATCTTCATTACTGCTAGAAATTGTTTTGTTCTTCATTCGTGGGTAACGGTCTGGCTGAAGGGTAATTTTTAAGCCACAAGTGTTTGACCGCTTGAATTCATATAGTTCGTGTACCAGGGAAAATAGCCCGTCAGAGCAGTTGCCATGAAAATATTTGTAGAAATAACAGAGGGAAACCACATCACGTCGGTGAGAAAATAACCAAAGTCGAGATGCTTCGTCAGGATCGATTACATTACAGATCCATCTCGAAATGTACAGCAGGAGAATCAAACCAGTTATGGCAAAAGTATTCAATGCACGAACGAATACTAGATTTGTTCAAAACGATCTTTATTTCACAATTTAATAAGAACGATTGAATTAAATCAAACAATCGACCTGTGATACCGTAGCACTGGAGCTTGTGTAGAAGACCAGTCTGCCAAAGCCTGTCGAAAAGGTTTGAGGTGTCTAAAGCCACAGTTTGAGTTTCACCGTTATTATCAAGATATACATATTAGTGATGTGCGTTAACAAATCAGCAGTAGACCTGGCGAAACGGAAGCCATATTATATGTTCAAGATTGTTTTTTTTTCATCTCATATTTTTTTTTATACTTAGTAGTAACGATCTGAATTTCTACGGTAAAGCACTGTCGATTATTATTATTTTTAACTAATATTTCTTTCTTATTATTTCTTTAACATTTACACTTAATAATAAGTCTTAATTTGCCTTAATTTCTTAAACAAAGCATTGTTAATTATATTTACTATTTGAATATTACTTTTTCACCTCATTTCTATTGCTTTTCACTTATGGAATTAACACATTAATTCCATTTATATTTTTACGCGCGCGCGAGTTTCCTCCCTTCCTTTCACACTCGTGCGTGTGTGCGCGCGTTTGACACCCCTTTCTGTCTCTTTTAGTCTAATACAGTAGTAACTGTTTTTGGTCAGCAGTCAAGACGAGCTGCTACTTCTACTTATGCAAATTAGACTTTTTGAATTTTTCCCGCGCGTTTTTCGGCGTTTCAAAACTGCTAACGTTTGCAATCCAGTTGCCTCTCGACTTTCGACCCGACTGGATGGGCAACTCATTTATTCCGTGCACTTAACCCATACGCGGGCCGGAATATCTTATTTTTTCAACAATGTCGACTGCACCCTCTACCAAGACTTTTTCTCCTTTTGAAGCTGCCAACAGGTCGGACCTTTTTCTCCGTTTTCTACTGGAAGATGTTTTAGAGATACGCGACACTGTCGCGAGCAAAAGTTCGTATGCAACTAATGGCGTATTTTTATCCCTCGTCAGGGGCCTAATAAGTATAGGCAGGGATATCCTACTGAACGAACAAATTGCTAATCACAGGTCAGGACCTTTTTCTCCGTTTTCTACCAGAAGACGTTTTTAGAGACACGCGACACTGTCGTCGGCAGAAACTTCGTGTTCAACAGGTGACTTAAACTTACCCCTGGCTTCGAACCAAATAATACAGGCAGGGATAGTATTACCTTTGAACGAAAACATTTTTCGTTTTTCTCTTTGGGCTCGCCGCAAACCATTCTACAAGACCATGCTTCGTCTCTCCCTCGGCTAGATGCCCACAGCAGTCCAGAACATTTACCAGCGGTCAATTCAATATTTACCGAACATTCTTTATAACTTTGAACCTGTACATTAAAAATATGCATAATCACTTACAACTTAAAATATCCACAGTGAGTACTCCATTCTATCTGTGCGCACCTTCTTTTTCCGGAACTGTATAAAACTTTCTTTTCCCGCCTTTGGCCATCTTGTATTTCTATTTTGGCGCGGAACATTTTTCATTGATCCCTACCTTGAGCTAAGTTACTTGTTACTGTTTAATTAAAGTTTTGTTTACTCATGTTTTATAAACAGATGTCTTTGTCATTTTTATTTCGGCTATCTTAATACCATTTATTTATGCACTTGTTGATTGACCCCTTTCCTCTCATTGTTCATTCACGCATTTTACTTATTTTTACTTTGCTTGTAGACTCGGTAGTTTAGTGTGGTGTCTGGCACAAGGCCACTTAGTAATAAACCAGCACTGCACGCTGCCGGGTCTGCAACACACTTAACAGAAAAAGTTGTCTTAATTTCTCAGACGAAGAATTATCATTATTATAATATTATTATTATTATTATTTTTATTTTTATTTTTATTTTTATTATTATTATTATTATTATTATTAATTTTTAACTTGTTTTTCTGTTATCCTGTACCTCCTGCTTTTAATGAGATTTTTCTAAAATGAAAATAGGCGCAAATAAACATAAAAAGATTGGATAGTGTTATTGGAACTTACCCATAATAATAATGGACTATTCCTGACATTATAAATACTGCGCCTGTCAAGAGGTATGAGGGAGATTGTAAGACGAGGAGAGATAATTGAGAGCATATTGTAAGGACATTGGAATAGTGATACTTGTCGAGACAACATAGTTCACTCTAACCAAATCTGATCGTCATTACTAATACTTCTACTTCTTTGTATTATATATCTGTTGTAATATATCTTTGTATTCCATACCTGTGTTCGTGTTATTCTTTCATTGGTTCTAACCTTGGACCATCACCGTGGTACAAGGAACTTGGACCATAACAGATAGAAAACACGGTTTGATTTGAATCAGATAAGAAAACTTGATGATTTAAAATTTAGAAATATGTGAAGTTTAGCGGAAATTGATATTTGCATTTCCGTGACCAAAAACAGACATTACGTTAGGCACACTGAGACACCAATGAGAATCACTCGTGGAACACCAAAGACCTTTCTCTTTTTTCTGTCTCCCGGCATTTGCCACAAGTCTTTGCCTTTTTATCATCGGTTTACACACCCCTGCAGAAAGCCATCTCCCAAAATGCAGCCTTCATAACAAGACATATTTCATCGCTTTGAAAAAGATTCATAAAATTGTGCATTTCAGGTACGGCTATTTATACACCGAACGCCCTTGTATATTTCTTTCTCATTAAAGTAGAACCTCGATTATCGGTTAGCTCCTTTATCGTACGATTCGGTTATCGTTCACTTTTTTTCGGCGAAAATATATCTTGGAAATTGTACATCTTCCCGGTTATCGAACAAGGAATTTCGTCCGATACGGATTTGTATATTGCTGTTGCGTGACTTCCTCCAGGCCAACGTCCCACATAAAGCATCGCGTGTGTGCGTGACTCCGCTTGCTTTTGTCTCTCGCTAAGTGAACATTTCCGCTATCATTCTACCGAAAATTGCCGTTTTGAATAGTGTTTGGGGTTTTACTCTTATATAGTTTTATTGTCAAATAAGCTACCATGGCTCCAGAGAAAGTTCCGAGTGTGTCTTTGGGCTTGGATGTGAATGATCTGGTGTTGGTTGAAGGAAGAGCTGATCGCTGAAGAACTCTAAGACCTTCAGCTCTAGCAGCGACAAACGGCCGTAAAGAGGAGGTGGTGCAAAAGGGAGAATGTGCCTTATTCATTGATTAAGAACATTTGCTCAAAATGAAGTGAGGTGCAAAATTTTCTGGAAAAATATCATCGTAAAAAAGCAGTTGCAAGCCGTTTAATGACAATGCCTTGTCAAATTCCATGCAAATTTTAAAGTTGGAACAAAAACAAATCTCTTTGGATAGCTTTTCAGTGAGGGAGGGATCCAGTCAGTCTCAAGTAGATTTTAGTGGCACAAAGAGACAGAGAAGAGAAATAACTGCAACAAAAGACTGACCTGAAGTCTTTATGGAGCCAAGTGGGGGGTTCACCATCCAAACAATAACACCCCCTCCCCCCATCTTCACGGTATTACATACGTCAGCAAGAATCTCCAATAAAGGTAAAATTAAATTTTCATTTATTTTATTTATTTGTCACTTGTATTTTTTCTGCGTGTAAATCTATAATTATTCTGTAAAAATGTATTTTTGTTAATATCTTTTGTGTGTTGAACGGTTTAATTTGATAAATATTACTTAATGAGAATATTAACTCGATTTCAAAGCATTTCTATTTTCGTCCGACATTCTGGAATGGATTATGGTCGATAACCGAGGTTCCACTGTATTTGTTTGTTAGAAATTGTTTTCTGCGTGGCTCACAGTAAATTCTTAAGAAAATACACCCAGGAACGGTTCAAATGAGTTTACCATGAAAATTCCACTCAAAAACTCTGCAAGTCATGCTTATTTCTGTGACCAAAAAATTAAGTTCGGCTACCGCGGAACCAATGAGAATCGCTCGTGGGAGCGTATTAAAAAAAAAAAAGAGCATCAAGACCCTTTCATTCTCTTTTTCTCTCTCTGGACGTCACCCCGTCTGTCTCCGCCCCGTCGCCGTCCTATCCTGCGACGACCAATGTGACATGGTATTGGTCGCGGCACCATATGTGACGTTCTAAACCTTGGCTGATTCGGATGGGAATCTGGTTAGATTCGGTATCAGCCTTGTCGTTCCCAGCTCGCCTCCAACGTCTGGTTACCGAAGTAACTGCTTTGATTTCTAGTCTAACCTACCCACATTGTGATTTGATCTTAGCTAGACGAAATCAATCAGTCGCCGGGCCGTAATGCAAGTCGAGTCCGAACAAGCGCAATACCGCACAAGTATATGTAAAAGAAAATAAAGTAACAACTCGAAAAGTTCAAATGTGTTAAAAAAAAAGAATAACAAATATTTATATATCGCTATATAGCTGAATACAAGACTGCGTCTTTCACCCAAACCGCTAAGATGGATTCGTGACACTTTGTGTTTGTTAGGCAAGTCTTAACATCTTAAATTGTTTTTCAAGAAACTGGTTTTTGGTGTCTCTTCAGGCGATATTCGTAAAACTTGTTTTGGTGGTGTGAGTCTAAGTCATTCTTCAAAAATAAGTTGTTCTTGGTTAGAAGTTGAGGTCGTGATGCGTGGATCTTTCAGTCAGCTTTCTGCGAGGTGGGTCTCAGAGCTCACAGCTCAACTCTGTCTGAGTCTGCCAACTGCGTCTGTGTTACTCATTCTGCAACTGCTTGCCTGTCTCTCTGACTAACCCCAACTGCTGTCCACTCGCTGCGACTCTGCTTATATGGACGCCGACCAAAACCGGGTGGGCTTGTCGGGGTTTGAGGTTCCTTGATAATTCTAAATCCACAATAAGGATCTTCTTTGTTCTCGAACAGGAAAATCTATTAATGTACATTTTTGGAAGTCCTTACTTTCTACTTAAAGGGAATCGTCCTCCCAAATTCTTCCTTTCTCATATTGGTATCTCACACCAATCCCCTCAGAGGGCGTCAACAGGTTCCCCTCTCTCTCACAGTGGCATCTCACACCAATCTCTTCAGGGGGCGTCAACAGGCCTCCCCTCCTTATTCTTAGTTTACCTTCGCCTACCGCTCACGCCACCCTTCAGCCAATGAACGCTCAGCAGCGTAGGTGTTTGCAATTATCGCTCAAAGGAAAAAAAATCTTCTTTCCTTTTTTTTTCTTTTTCTTTCTCTTCCACGAGCAGACCTCACACGACTCATAGGATGGTCTCTAATCTCTATCTTAACCGAATTTCATCTGGAGTTCGTCAACGAGATTTTCGTCAAATAATCATTGAGGTTGGTCAATGATTTTCCGCACTCTGTCGCCAATTATCTGTTCCGATAAAATAATTTTTCTATCATGGCTAGCTCTGATATAAAGCAGGTGTTTTTCCCAAATGATATCTCCGCAGATAGTTAATGGTTTAATCTTTCCTTCTTTGTAACTTGTGGGTGATCCAGCTGACATTTTTCTCGTCAGTGCGTGACCTGATTAATATTATCTCTTAGCATTCTGTTTTGTAGGCCACTTGTCCAATTTGGGATTTTCATTATTGCCATGGTCAGACGGCTATCATTTATTCGCTCCGTCGTAACATAAATCAAATTAAATCCGACAGATCCTAGATCTTATTTTCTTCGCTAATGAAAATAAAATATTTACCACTTTTCTTTGTTAAAAAAAAAATAACATCGCTCAGTGTCTTTTCGTGATAGCTTCTTATCACCTTAATTAATTCTCGCCTTTTTTCCCACGCAACCCTAAATAGTGTCACACGTTGTTCAAAAGGCTTTATTTTACCGGTTCATCCCTGTTGACGTCGTGTTAACGTCGCCCAAAATTCAGTATTCAAACCAATTTATAGTGCTAAAACAAACAAACAAAAATCACGTACAATTGTAAATTTCAAGTACGAACATTTTATACACCAATCACACTTGTGCATTTCTTTCTTATCATTTGTGAGTTAGAAATCGTTTTCTTTGCAGCTCAAACTGAATGGTTCGCTCTTATTGAACTGGTTGTATCAGTTTTCTCATAATTTTATTTCCTCTTTTTCTCCAAATCTGCTTTCTACGATTATTATAATTAATGGGTGTGTCACATAGTAACATCATTTGCTACTTTCAGGCGGCATGACCATGTATCATTGTTTGAATGTTATTTCGGGAGTTAGCTTTACAGGATTTACTTTAAAGGATTTACTTTAAAGAAAAGGAAAATACCCAAGAACGGTTTAAATTTTTTTGTTTGGAAAATCCACTCAAAAAACTCTACAAGTCACGCTTACTTCCATAGCCACAAAATAGAACGTTAGGCTACTGCGGACCCAATTAGAATCTCTCGCGGGAGCGTATAAAAAGGAGCAGAATGTCCCTTTCATTCTCTTTTTCTCTCTCTCCGGAGAGTTAGCCCTAAAAGCTTTACTTAAAAAGGATAATATCTGCAACAAATATAAAATATTGCAAAAAATATTAGTTTATACGGCTCGATAATTTTAAAAAGTTTTATATAGAAAACTCTTTCAAAACTTGTGCAGGTAGCAACACTATGTTTAAAACTTACATAAGTCAAGTATCAATTTTGGGGTACGTAAAAGTTCATGCTATTTCAAAAGATTTCAAATAAATGATGAGAGTTCTTGCAAAGGTCGAAGAGTTCAAGTAATGAAGAGATATTTTATGTTTAGTCCAACACTAGTAAGAGAATTGTATGATGAATGGTAAGGTCGATCAAATTGCATTGGAGAAATTAACCCAAACTCTGAGCAGCAGAATAGCCAAATTTTAGTAAATTGAGAAGAGAAGAATTTATATAACTTCTATGTTTCTCAGGCTCAGATTTCTTGAGAAAATTGTATTTCTCACTTTTTTTAAAAATTAGAATATAGGTAAGTTAGATTTTAGAAAATGACAAATTCTGTTTGACATCGCATTAAAATATTTCCATTTTATATCGCATTCAGTAGATATGTAGATAAATACTATAGTAGCGTTCTTCTTTCGATTGTATTTGTTCTTTTGAAAGTCTGTTTTCCTGTCTGGTTTATGACAGTCTGCTTCTCTCTGGTTTATGACCGTCTGCTTCTCTCTGGTTGATGACAGTCTTTTTCTCTCTGGTTTATGACCGTCTGCTTCTCTCTGGTTTATGACCGTCTGCTTCTCTCTGGTTTATGACAGTCTGCTTCTCTTTGGTTTATGACAGGCCGCTTCTCTATGGTTTATGACCTTCTGCTTCTTTATGGTTTATGACCGTCTGCTTCTCTTTGGTTTATGACAGGCTTCTTCACTCTGGTTTATGACCTTCCGCTTCTCTCTGGTTTATGATCTTCTGCGTCTCTCTGGTTTATGACCGTCTGATTCTCTATGGTTTATGACCATCTGCTTCTTTTTGGCTTATGACAGGCTGCTTCTCTCTGGTTTATGGCCTGCTTCTCTCTGGTTTATGAGCGTCTGCTTCTCTTTGGTTTATGACCTTCTGCTTGTCTCTGGTTTATGACCTTCTGCTTCTCTCTGGTTTATGACCGTCTGCTTCTCTCTGTTTTATGACAGGCTGCTTCTTTCTGGTTTATGACCGTCAGCTTCTCTCTGGTTTGATCGTCTGCTTCATCTGGTTTATGACAGTCTGCTTCTTTCTGGTTTATGACTTCTCTCTGGTTTATGACCGTCTCTTCTCTCTGGTTTATGACTTCTTCTCTCTGGTTTATGACCGTCTGCTTTATGTCTGGTTTATGACCGTCTGCTTCTCTCTGGCTTGCTTCTCTTCTCTCTGGTTTATAACCGTCTGCTTCTCTCTGGTTTATGATCGTCTGCTTCTGTTTGGTTTATGACAGGCTGCTTCTCTCTGGTTTATGACCGTCTGCTTCTCTCTGGTTTATGATCGTCTGCTTCTATCTGTTTTATGACAGGCTGCTTCTTTCTGGTTTATGACCGTCTGCTTCTCTATGGTTTATGACAGTCTGCTTCTCTCTGGTTTATGACCGTCTGCTTCTCTCTGGTTTATGACATTCTGCTTCTCTCTGGTTTATGACCGTCTGCTTCTCTCTGGTTTATGACCGTCTGCTTTTCTGTGGTTTATGACCGTCTGCTTCTCTCTGGTTTATGACATTCTGCTTTTTCTGGTTTATGACCGTCTGCTTCTCTCTGGTTTATGATCGTCTGCTTCTATCTGTTTTATGACAGGCTGCTTCTTTCTGGTTTATGACCGTTCTCTATTTGCTTTCGTCTGATTTTCTCTTGGTTTATGACAGTCTGCTTCTGGTTTATGACCGTCTGCTTCTCTCTGGTTTATGATCGTCTGCTTCTCTCTGGTTTATGACCGTCTGCTTCTCTCTGACAGGTTTATGACCGTTCTTTCTGGTTTATGACCGTCTGCTTTTCTGTGTTTATGACCGTCTGCTTCTCTGGTTTATGACCGTCTGCTTTCTGGTTTATGACCTTCTGCTTCTCTCTGGTTTATGACCTTCTGATTCTTTATGGTTTACAGTCTGCTTCTCTTTGGTTTATGACCTTCTGCTTCTCTCTGGTTTATGACCTTCTGATTCTTTATGGTTTATGACAGTCTGCTTCTCTTTGGTTTATGACCTTCTGCTTCTCTCTGGTTTATGACCGTCTGCTTTTCTGATTCTGTGGTTTTCTCTCTGGTTTATGACCGTCTGCTTCTCTCTGGTTTAGGACAGTCTGCTTCTGTCTGGTTTATGACCGTCTGCTTCTGTCTGGTTTATGACCGTCTGCTTCTCTCATAACAGACTGGTTTATGACCGTCTGCTTCTGTCTGGTTTATGACCGTCTGCTTCTCTCTGGTTTATGACCGTCTGGTTTATGACCGTCTGCTTCTCTATGGTTTATGACCGTCTGTTTCTCTCTGGTTTATGACAGTCTGCTTCTCTATGGTTTATGACCGTCTGCTTCTCTCTGGTTTATGACATTCTGCTTCTCTCTGGTTTATGACCGTCTGCTTCTCTCTGGTTTATGACCGTCTGCTTTTCTCTGGTTTATGACATTCTTTTCTGGTTTATGACCGTTGCTTCTCTGGTTTATGACCGTCTGCTTCTCTCAGGTTTTTGACCGTCTGCTTCTCTATGTTTATGCTTTCTCTGGTTTATGTTTATCTCTGGTTTATGACCGTCTGCTTCTCTGGTTTATGACCGTCTGCTTTATCTCTGGTTTATGACATTCTGCTTCTCTCTGGTTTATGACCGTCTGCTTCTCTCTGGTTTATGACCGTCTGCTTTTCTGTGGTTTATGACCTTCTGCTTCTCTCTGGTTTATGACCGTCTGCTTCTCTCTGGTTTATGACCTTCTGCTTCTCTCTGGTTTATGACCTTCTGATTCTTTATGGTTTATGACAGTCTGCTTCTCTTTGGTTTATGACCTTCTGCTTCTCTCTGGTTTATGACCTTCTGATTCTTTATGGTTTATGACAGTCTGCTTCTCTTTGGTTTATGACCTTCTGCTTCTCTCTGGTTTATGACCTTCTGCTTCTCTCTGATTCATAACAGCGTGCTTCTCTCTGGTTTATGACCGTCTGCTTCTCTCTGGTTTAGGACAGTCTGCTTCTGTCTGGTTTATGACCGTCTGCTTCTGTCTGGTTTATGACCGTCTGCTTCTCTCTGGTTCATAACAGACTGCTTCTCTCTGGTTTATGACCGTCTGCTTCTGTCTGGTTTATGACCGTCTGCTTCTCTCTGGTTCATAACAGACTGCTTCTCTCTGGTTTATGACCGTCTGCTTTTCTGTGGTTTATGACCGTCTGCTTCTCTCTGCGCATGTCAGGTTTTTATTCATGATTTTCTCGGTTTTTTATCCAATAGTATCAAGTTGAAATACAAATTTCAATTTGAAGAATTGTTTTGAGAAAAGAAATAGCTGGTTGGTTATAAAATATGTTTTGTGCTTTGCAATTTCTTTGTACTGTTTCTTTATTAGTTGGTTAAAAGTAACCAACTAATTTTTTTAACCAACTAAAATTAGTTGGTTAAAAGTAACCAACTAGTTTTTATAATATCTTATTTATTATAAATTATTCTGTGGTTTAGGATGCTTTTTATATTTTTTAGAAAATTTATAAATATTATATACAATTTTTAATTTTATAATAAGTTTATAAGTATACACCTATAGTCTTAAGTTGTCTGAATTCCTTATATGAAGCATTGTAAATATTTATTAATTTTTAACTAGTTTCCTTAATCATCTTTATTTTTACACCTATCAAGAATAACCTGACGTTGTTTGAATTTCTGAGATGGTGCATTGTTAATTATTATTCCTTTTTGACTAGTATATATTTCAGCTTTTCTCTTTTGCTTTTGCACCTAGTAATCTTAAGCTGCTTGAATTTATTAGATGAAATTATATTTGATAGATAATTAAAATTAGCTATCAATTTTTGACTTATATTTCTTTTTATTTTGACTACAGTTGATTTTTATTCCACCTCTCGGACCATATTTCTGCGGTCGGTAGTAAGGCAAGACGAATATGAATGAAAGTAAAATATCTGATGAAAACTCGAACTTGCCTCTCTTTTTGTTGGGATAAAATCTCAAACTATATTAGAATCTTTTTTCTCACAGTTCTAAGTCTTCAGATTTAGAATGATGTAATAAAAAGTAGCAATAAAATGAAGAAAAGTATTCAAATTCCGATGTTTGATCGAATAATAAATAAATGCTCTCCATTTTATGCGCCAAATTTTAATTCTCTGACATCATCAAATAAGCTTCTTTGCGTCTTTTTTAACGGTCACTAATTTAAACATTTCAATGGCATCGCCTTAAGTATGGCATAATTAATGATAAATGGTTGAATTGTTAATGACTTTTATATAGCAGAAAAGAATATTATAGAAATGAAACGGGTTTCAGAAAAGAAAATTATTTGACGTAAAAACATGAATAAAAAGCTTGACCATTTTTTTATGATCGTTATTAAAGTTGCATTGTTAGAATTGTTCTTGAAAGAGGTAGTAGAATGGTTTCCATTCCGTTCACTAAGGTTATGAATATAGAGTTATCTTTCTCCTAGATTGGTTGCCGTCTAAAGCTAGAAATCTCATTTTGCAACGCTATCTGATTTCTACTTGGGATAAAATATTTTACTGAAAATAACCGCCGTTTATATCTATGATGTGTTCTTGATTGTTGGAGTTATTACATTTTTCATATGTTGAAATACATCATTCATTTATCATTTCTCTGTTCTAGATATAACTACATTATTGTATTAATATTAAATATAATCCTCTGATAACAAGAAATGTAGAAAAATATGAGTGAGGTTATAAGAGGGTGAATTTTCCCAAATACCATGCACCTTCAGGATGTAAGAAATCATCATTATCTACAAGTTCCTTTTATTTCCTATCAGTGATTTATCGTGTATTTTTTGGAAAGATAGTGCAGTGGTTTTTCGTTGCCATCTCTCCGGTTTGGAATTCAGTTTTCTTTTAGACTGATGTCCACAGAAAAATACTAGAGATCCAAGTCTAATCAGCTATCCACCCCCCACCAACAGCTTGGAGAAGAAGAAATGCATTCATGTTTAAGGATATTTACACGAAAGTGATTGCAATCGACTAGGCCGAGATTTGAAATCCGATCACCAATTTCTTTTTTCGCAGCATATCCCTTAACCTATTCGCACATCCTCACCTGATAAAGGAGTATCATCTCTGAGTTGCAAAAATAATCGAATACTCTGTTTTAAAATATCAGCTTTAATGACTTAAACACTGATTCTTGATCTTTAACAGTGACGTCATTTTCGTGGAATAGCTTTCATCGAAGCCCAAATTATACTCTTTACATTTTGTCCTGTCGGCATTAATTATGTTATATTGCAGTCATTGTTATTCAACACTTGGTGGACAGAGACAAATCTTTATTTGCAAAATACCATAAAAATATTTTCTGTTATGTTGATTAAACAGATCATTTGATGGACTGAAAAGCGCGCTGGTTTAAATCAATGCATCTAAAAGTATAAAAATTGCGGGGTGAATGCCTTCTAAAACTAAACAAATGGCCCAGTGGATAAAAGCGTTGGTTGAAGCAATCGAATAGTTACTTCAGCCAAAGAGTTGCGAGTTCAATACCTGGTCACAAAAAAAAAAAATTGGAGAGCTGAGTTACTAAAGGGAATTAACTGAAAACTAAAATATCAAGAAAAGGCATAACACGTGAAACTAAAACAATCTTTCCGCGTGTACTAAATAAAGAGTTCAGTTCGAAATTCCAACGTATATTACCTGAAGCGGACCGGAACGTGCAATGGCCGAAACGTCTTCAATATGTTAATAAAGATAACAACAACAATAGTCCGAACAATATAAATAGTGTAAATAGTTAAAATATCTCAACTCAGAAGTATAGACAGATGAATACATAAAAATGAGGGATATTTTATAAATTTTGTCTTAACATAAATGAAATTGTAACTGAGAAGCAAGAAAAAATGGATTTGGTCAGTTGAAAAATAGGATGTGAACAATCGAGCGTGTTAAATGAAGATCTTTCGAGCTGAATCAAGTTTTACCGTATTTGAAAATTCTAACACTTCGCAACAGCCCCCCCCAACCACCGACGACTTACTCTCTGGATTGAGGTCTCTACTCAGTCCTAACCGAACTTAAGGGAGTGACCGTAGGTCCCCTGAGCATCCGTAGATCATTCGACCGGTCCACTGGTTTAATCCTGCTTCCTGCCCACGTTGTGTTTGGTTTGATCCAGAAAGCAGAAGTGATGTACGTTCATTCACGGTCGACTGAAGATGTAGACACAGCTGGAGAGTCTGTGCTAACAAATTTAGAATGCACCAATATATATAT